CAGTGAGTTTTTGTTTGACAGCATCTTTATCAGTCACTTGTCGCACAGTTCTTACTTCTCCATTCTGTAAACCCACACCAAACAGCGCTCTGTCTGTAGCATATACACAAGTTACCTATACAAAGTTACAGTAAGTTTTATTAACTCAAAAATGATAAACTAATTTGCTTGAGAAATTTGAGGCAATCAGTTTCCACAGGTTTTCCTAGTAAGTTCAACTAATGACTTTTTCCAGTGTCCAGTCTGGTTTTCTTTTACGTTTGCATGTCTTAATATCAGCCTTGATTATTCCACTCTGTTAATTAAAAGGCTGTCTATATGCATATTCGCTAATTGTTTGCAAGAAGCATACATGTAAGAGGCTGACAATTAGCTGAACATATACTTGTTTAATTAGTGACTCTTAGCTTGCATTTTAAAATATTTCTTTGAATATGGCAATTAACATATTTATTGTTAACCTTTATTTGAATATGGCAACATAAAATCATGCTCTACAATATGTATATGTGTAAATCTCTTGACAGAGCCTGTCCCTATCAGCCAGTCACTGTGTGCACAATTAGTAAGCATTCTGACACCATCCATAGCAACAAGGTCATTCCCGCCCTTACTCTTAGCTTAAGACTTCTCTCTATTCCTAAGTAAAAGTATGTCTCAGCAGCTTTGTGAATTGGTTTTAAGAGAAAACACTTAGCTAAAAACTTTTACTGCTATTTAGGAGAAGTCTTAATGGTAAGATAAAATGTTTTGTGAATATGGGCCCAGATATCCAACATCTGCAGCACGAGGCACAATCCCAGCCAACACAGAGGCACCAGTCTGTTCTGGATACAGAACCTGAGGAGCGTTGTCATTCTGATCCTGGATATTGATAGTTATTGTCACTTCAGAGCTCAAGGGCGGGGATCCTCCATCTCGAGATTTCACGTTAAAGGCAAACCACTTAAACTGTTCAAAATCAAATTATTTAACTGCATGAATAGTGCCAGTATGTTAATCTACAGATATGAGAGAACTTAGTGGTGCATCACGCATGTCTTCATCCTTCAGGAAGTAGGACAATTGCACATTGGGACCCCAGTCAGCATCATTTGCTTTAACAGTCATTATAGTCAGACCAGGAGAATTATTTTCACTAACAAATGTTTTATATTCCTCGAACTCTTATACTGGCGGATTGTCATTCACATCAGATATTTTTACATTAAGCGTTTTGTTCGCGTGGCGCACAGTAATTCCTTGGTCTGACACCAAGATCGTTATGTTATATTCAGCAAGATTTTCTCGATCAAGCATATCATCAGTAACTAAAGTATAATAGTCCGTGAGAGATGACTCGATTTTAAACGGTATATTTTGATTTATTGAGCACTGAACAAGGCCATTTTTACCAGAATCTGTGTCCTCTACGTTAATGACGGCTACAGTTGTTCCCACTGGGGAATTTTCAGGAAGGGTGTTTGAGAACGACATCAGCTGTATGGTTGGAGAATTGTCATTCTCATCAATTACATCTATGACAATTTTGCAAGTATCTGAGAAGCCTCCTTTATCCCTTGCATTTATGTTTAATTGATAACTATTTTGCAATTCATAATCTAAATGATCAAGAAGTCTATAATCTCACCTGTATCTGTGTTTATCCCGAAAAGCTCTCTTGCTTCTTTGGTAGCAAGAGCAAAGGAATAGGAAACCTGGCCATTTACCCCTTCGTCAGCATCAGCAGCACTAACAGTACCGATAACAGTACCAGCAGGTGAATTCTCTCCAACTTCAGTTTTAAATACTGACTGTTTACACACTGGAGCATTATCATTAACATCCAGAACAGTAACATGAATTTTTACAGTGCCTGATTTCTGAGGTGACCCACCATCAGTTGCCACAAGAACCAATTTAATCTCATCGCGTTCCTCTCGGTCTAGTTCTCGTTGTAAAACCATCTCAATGTATTTGTTGCCATCAGTCTGACTATGAACCTCCAGTTTAAAACTATCAGTTGGATGTAGTTTATAATTCTGTATACCATTTAGACCTACATCTGTATCTATGCCGCTGTCTAAAGGAAAGCGAACTCCTAAAATGGCATTTTCAGGTATTTTAAAATTAACATTTTCTTGCGCAAATAACATAATATTATCGTGCACCTCAACTGTGACTCGATGGAGTTCAGCGATAAGATCAAAGCTGAAGCTGCAAGGTGTCGTTTGCTTACAGAGCTCCTCGATCTATCCTTTCTTTAACTTCTAGAGTCCCTTTGTCTCTGCTCAGTTCGACATATTGTCGTCCGCCCTTTGTTACGACGCGAGATTTTCCATATATGAGTCTACTTATCTCTATCCCCAGATCCTTGACGATGTTTCCAACGAATGATCCCTCTGGCATTTCCTCTGTGATGGAATATCTCGCATTGCAATATATGACGTCCACTCCGTAAAAGCAGAGAATGAAAAACACAACCTGCCATTTTGAATGTGTGGAAACCATCCATGGATTTTGTGCATTGATCGATAAACTTAAGAAAACCATCCTGAGAAGCTGTGTCTTCAAACGATGTTGGATCAAGTGTGAAAAGCCATTAAAATCCTAAATCCTCAATAAAGCATTTTTGTTCTTTCCATCAGAAAAACGCTCCATATGCCCAACCTATAAACACGTGAATAAGTGGCTGGCAATACAGAGTACTGAGCAAAGAAGAGCTCTACTCAGATGTTAATCAACAGTGGCACTCAGAGCTCTAAAGTTGCAATACAAGACCAACAGCATTACTACGACCGTTACAAGCCAAAATTATGACATCAATACCACAAGAAGAAGAAGAAGAACAATACTAATAAACTGCATTGTATTAGTGTGTGTGTGTGTGTGTGTGTGTTTGTCCGCTGACCATTTCAGCACCATCGGGATGAACAGCACCCGAAGAATTCAACAATGAATTGATAGTTTTCAGTCACGTGACTGGCTCGAAGACCTGGCGGGCAAAACATCCATAGAACTGCAGCACAAGCTAGTCAATTTTCCATCTGTTTCTAATCCCAAAATATTTAGATTATCTCCCAAAAGAATAAAACAAAGATATGTGAACAAAATGCAAATACTGGCCATTAGCAATCCAATCACCCACCGCAATGTTTCAATCACTAAAAACAGCGGGACATTCTAAAACATTTAATGTGAAAACACTTAAAGTGCCTTTAAAACAGTGATATTAAAAGATCAAATTCAGTACACTCCTTATTGATGATGCATGCTTTATACAGGCAAGCAAATGAGCCTGGAACATAAACGCAATGAGTTAAATGGTTAAGCGTCTTCTTTATATTGGTTTTCTATGGGGAAATTTTAATATTAAACTTTGCACATGGCGTTTATATTCTGGGTTAATCTGATTACCTGTACAAAGTCTGCATCATCAATAAGTTGTATTCTGAATTTGGCATTTCAATATCACTGTCTTACTACATTACTACTAAATGCAAACCTCATAAAAAATAATTGGCAGTCAGCGGAGGAAAGCATTGCTTTGCCCTCCATGTGGGCGTTCCTGTAAGGGTGTGACGTCACGTGAAAACTATCACTAGACTGCTCGAATCTCAGACTCTCCTTAAAATTAAAACTTAACAGCAAGTTGAAAATAAAATAAAAGCGCAGAGCTCTGCTAAATCCATGGATTCCTCAAACTCAAACTCACTGTGTATGTGCTGTATGTATGCATGTATGTATATTTTAAAGCCGATATTATCAAACAATTAAATAACATCAACAGGCTGAACAAGCGAAGTTTTGTGGTGTAATGGCCATAAAACATAGAGACAATTATTAATATTAATTGAATCTATTCCTGCAAGGATCTTACCACTTCTTGTTGCTCAGATTTTTCAAGAATGTTCGTTTCCTTCATTGCGCGCTGCATCGTCTCAGTGAAACTCGGGTCCACCACTAAAACATTCTGTCCACCGAGTGTAGAAAACTTACAGTCAAGAAGAAGAAGAACAATAATAATAAACTGCTTTGTATGTGTGTGTGTGTGTGTGTGTTTGTCCGCTGACCATTTCAGCACCATCGGGATGAACAGCACCCGAAGAATTCAACAATGAATTGATAGTTTTCAGTCACGTGACTGGCTCGAAGACCTGGCGGGCAAAACATCCATAGAACTGCAGCACAAGCTAGTCAATTTTCCATCTGTTTCTAATCCCAAAATATTTAGATTATCTCCCAAAAGAATAAAACAAAGATATGTGAACAAAATGCAAATACTGGCCATTAGCAATCCAATCACCCACCGCAATGTTTCAATCACTAAAAACAGCGGGACATTCTAAAACATTTAATGTGAAAACACTTAAAGTGCCTTTAAAACAGTGATATTAAAAGATCAAATTCAGTACACTCCTTATTGATGATGCATGCTTTATACAGGCAAGCAAATGAGCCTGGAACATAAACGCAATGAGTTAAATGGTTAAGCGTCTTCTTTATATTGGTTTTCTATGGGGAAATTTTAATATTAAACTTTGCACATGGCGTTTATATTCTGGGTTAATCTGATTACCTGTACAAAGTCTGCATCATCAATAAGTTGTATTCTGAATTTGGCATTTCAATATCACTGTCTTACTACATTACTACTAAATGCAAACCTCATAAAAAATAATTGGCAGTCAGCGGAGGAAAGCATTGCTTTGCCCTCCATGTGGGCGTTCCTGTAAGGGTGTGACGTCACGTGAAAACTATCACTAGACTGCTCGAATCTCAGACTCTCCTTAAAATTAAAACTTAACAGCAAGTTGAAAATAAAATAAAAGCGCAGAGCTCTGCTAAATCCATGGATTCCTCAAGCTCAAACTCACTGTGTATGTGCTGTATGTATGCATGTATGTATATTTTAAAGCCGATATTATCAAACAATTAAATAACATCAACAGGCTGAACAAGCGAAGTTTTGTGGTGTAATGGCCATAAAACATAGAGACAATTATTAATATTAATTGAATCTATTCCTGCAAGGATCTTACCACTTCTTGTTGCTCAGATTTTTCAAGAATGTTCGTTTCCTTCATTGCGCGCTGCATCGTCTCAGTGAAACTCGGGTCCACCACTAAAACATTCTGTCCACCGAGTGTAGAAAACTTACAGTCACTCTTCCTCGAGTCAGTCGTCATGCACACTTCATAATTATACCCGTGCGGCAGAGTTCCAGTGACTCCTGTGTCTGCGTAATGCGGTGGATAGTACGGGATAACAGGCAGATTGGACTGATATAGGAAGCTTGATTGTCTCCACCTGTAGATTTTAACTGATATTATGACAACCACACAAGTAATAAATAGGAAAGAAACCGCAGCCAGAGCGAGAACTAAATAAAAGGTTAGACTCTCGTCATAAAGTTTTCCATGCGTAAAGTCTGTGAACTCCGAGAGCACTTCAGGAAAGCTGTCAGCCACAGCCACGTTAATGGAGACCACAGCTGAGCGAGAGGGCTGTCCGTTATCCTCCACAACAACAGTGAGTTTTTGTTTGACAGCATCTTTATCAGTCACTTGTCGCACAGTTCTTATTTCTCCATTCTGTAAACCCACTTCAAACAGCGCTCTGTCTGTAGCTTTCTGTAGTTTATAGGAGAGCCAGGCATTCTGTCCAGAGTCCACATCAACAGCCACCACTTTAGTGACCAGATATCCAACATCTGCAGCACGAGGCACAATCTCAGCCACCACAGAAGCACCAGCCTGTTCTGGATACAGAACCTGAGGAGCGTTGTCATTCTGATCCTGGATATTGATAGTTATTGTCACTTCAGAGCTCAAGGGCGGGGATCCTCCATCTCGAGCTGTCACGTTAAAGGCAAACGATTTCAACTGTTCAAAATCAAATGATTTATCTGCATGAATAGTGCCAGTATGTGAATCTACAGATACGAGAGAACGTAGTGGTGCACCACGCATGTCTTCATCCTTCAGGAAGTAGGACAATTGCGCATTGGGACCCCAGTCAGCATCATTTGCTTTAACAGTCATTATAGTCAGACCAGGAGAATTATTTTCACTAACAAATTTTTTATATTCCTCGAACTCGAATACTGGCGGATTGTCATTCACATCAGATATTTTTACATTAAGCGTTTTGTTCGCGTGGCGCACAGTAATTCCTTTGTCTGACACCAAGATCGTTATGTTATATTCAGCAAGACTTTCTCGATCAAGCATATCATCAGTAACTAAAGTATAATAGTCCGTGAGTGATGACTCGATTTTAAACGGTATGTTTTGATTTATTGAGCACTGAACAAGGCCATTTTGACCAGAATCTGTGTCCTCTACGTTAATGACGGCTACAGTTGTTCCCACTGGGGAATTTTCAGGAAGGGTGTTTGAGAACGACATCAGCTGTATGGTTGGAGAATTGTCATTCTCGTCAATTACATCTATGACAATTTTGCAGGTATCTGCGAGACCCCCTTTATCTCTCGCTTTAATATTTATTTGATAACTATTTTGAGATTCATAATCTAAATGATCAAGAAGTCTAATTTCACCTGTTTCTGTATTTATCTCAAAAAGCTCTCTTGCTTCTTTGCTTGCAAGAGCAAAGGAATAGGAAACCTGGCCATTTACACCTTCGTCAGCATCAGCAGCACTAACAGTACCGATAACAGTACCAGCAGGTGAATTCTCTCTAACTTCAGTTTTAAATACTGACTGTTTACACACTGGAGCATTATCATTAACATCCAGAACAGTAACATGAATTTTTACAGTGCCTGATTTCTGAGGTGACCCACCATCAGTTGCCACAAGAACCAATTTAATCTCATCGCGTTCCTCTCGGTCTAGTTCTCGTTGTAAAACCATCTCAATGTATTTGTTGCCATCAGTCTGACTATGAACCTCCAGTTTAAAACTATCAGTTGGATGTAGTTTATAATTCTGTATACCATTTAGACCTACATCTGTATCTATGCCGCTGTCTAAAGGAAAGCGAACTCCTAAAATGGCATTTTCAGGTATTTTAAAATTAACATTTTCTTGCGCAAATAACAGAATATTATCGTGCACCTCAACTGTGACTCGATGGAGTTAACTCAAAAATGATAAACTAATTTGCTTGAGAAATTTGAGGCAATCAGTTTCCACAGGTTTTCCTAGTAAGTTCAACTAATGACTTTTTACAGTGTCCAGTCTGGTTTTCTTTTACGTTTGCATGTCTTAATATCAGCCTTGATTATTCCACTCTGTTAATTAAAAGGCTGTCTATATGCATATTCGCTAATTGTTTGCAAGAAGCATACATGTAAGAGGCTGACAATTAGCTGAACATATACTTGTTTAATTAGTGACTCTTAGCTTGCATTTTAAAATATTTCTTTGAATATGGCAATTAACATATTTATTGTTAACCTTTATTTGAATATGGCAACATAAAATCATGCTCTACAATATGTATATGTGTAAATCTCTTGACAGAGCCTGTCCCTATCAGCCAGTCACTGTGTGCACAATTAGTAAGCATGCTGACACCATCCATAGCAACAAGGTCATTCCCGCCCTTACTCTTAGCTTAAGACTTCTCTCTATTCCTAAGTAAAAGTATGTCTCAGCAGCTTTGTGAATTGGTTTTAAGAGAAAACACTTAGCTAAAAACTTTTACTGCTATTTAGGAGAAGTCTTAATGGTAAGATAAAATGTTTTGTGAATATGGGCCCAGATATCCAACATCTGCAGCACGAGGCACAATCTCAGCCACCACAGAAGCACCAGTCTGTTCTGGATACAGAACCTGAGGAGCGTTGTCATTCTGATCCTGGATATTGATAGTTATTGTCACTTCAGAGCTCAAGGGCGGGGATCCTCCATCTCGAGCTGTCACGTTAAAGGCAAACGATTTCAACTGTTCAAAATCAAATGATTTATCTGCATGAATAGTGCCAGTATGTGAATCTACAGATACGAGAGAACGTAGTGGTGCACCACGCATGTCTTCATCCTTCAGGAAGTAGGACAATTGCGCATTGGGACCCCAGTCAGCATCATTTGCTTTAACAGTCATTATAGTCAGACCAGGAGAATTATTTTCACTAACAAATTTTTTATATTCCTCGAACTCGAATACTGGCGGATTGTCATTCACATCAGATATTTTTACATTAAGCGTTTTGTTCGCGTGGCGCACAGTAATTCCTTTGTCTGACACCAAGATCGTTATGTTATATTCAGCAAGACTTTCTCGATCAAGCATATCATCAGTAACTAAAGTATAATAGTCCGTGAGTGATGACTCGATTTTAAACGGTATGTTTTGATTTATTGAGCACTGAACAAGGCCATTTTGACCAGAATCTGTGTCCTCTACGTTAATGACGGCTACAGTTGTTCCCACTGGGGAATTTTCAGGAAGGGTGTTTGAGAACGACATCAGCTGTATGGTTGGAGAATTGTCATTCTCGTCAATTACATCTATGACAATTTTGCAGGTATCTGCGAGACCCCCTTTATCTCTCGCTTTAATATTTATTTGATAACTATTTTGAGATTCATAATCTAAATGATCAAGAAGTCTAATTTCACCTGTTTCTGTATTTATCTCAAAAAGCTCTCTTGCTTCTTTGCTTGCAAGAGCAAAGGAATAGGAAACCTGGCCATTTACACCTTCGTCAGCATCAGCAGCACTAACAGTACCGATAACAGTACCAGCAGGTGAATTCTCTCTAACTTCAGTTTTAAATACTGACTGTTTACACACTGGAGCATTATCATTAACATCCAGAACAGTAACATGAATTTTTACAGTGCCTGATTTCTGAGGTGACCCACCATCAGTTGCCACAAGAACCAATTTAATCTCATCGCGTTCCTCTCGGTCTAGTTCTCGTTGTAAAACCATCTCAATGTATTTGTTGCCATCAGTCTGACTATGAACCTCCAGTTTAAAACTATCAGTTGGATGTAGTTTATAGCTCTGTATTCCATTTAGACCTACATCTGTGTCTATTGCGCTATCCAAAGGAAACCTAGTTCCAGAAATTGCATTTTCACTTACTTCCAAATTAACATTTTCTTTTGGAAATAACGGAGCATTATCGTTTATATCTTGCACCTCAACTGTGACTCGATGGAGTTGGATAGGGTTTTCAACGATAAGATCAAAGCTGAAGCTGCAAGGCGTCGTTTGCTTACATAGCTCCTCGCGATCAATCCTTTCTTTAACTTCTAGAGTCCCTTTGTCTCTGCTCAGATCGACATACTGTCGTCCGCCCTTTGTTACGACGCGAGCTTTTCCAGATATGAGTCTACTTATCTCTATCCCCAGATCCTTGGCGATGTTTCCAACGAATGATCCCTCTGGCATTTCCTCTGTGATGGAATATCTCGCATTGCAATATATGACGTCCACTCCATAAAAGCAGAGAATGAAAAACACAACCTGCCATTTTGAGTGTCTAGAAACCATCCATGGATTGTGTGCATTGCTCGATAACCTTAAGAAAGCCATCTTGATAAGATGCGTCGCTATACGAAGTTGGAACACGTATGAATAAACATCATAATCCCAAATACAAAATAACGCATTTACGTTCTTTTCATCGGAAGAACACTGCGTATGCCCATCCTCAACAAACGCGTCAATAAGGGATGGATTGCTGAGCAAAAACGCGCTCAACTCAGATGTTAATCAACAGCGGCACTCAGAGCTTCAAAGTCGCAAATACAAGACCAGCAGCCGTAATGCGACTGTTACAAGCCAAAGTGCAACATCAGTTCAGGCATTAATCAGTGCCAGGCAATAGCGGGAAAAAGAAAAAAAAACTAGCCATTTCAGCACTATCGGCATGAACAGCACCCGACGATTTTAATCCAGAATTCAATGTTAAAGAAGCTCCAACAACTGACAAAAGTATAGCTTCAGGAAATACACTTTAGTTTTTATTATATTGTTATTATTATTATTATTATTAATTGTATTATAATTATTATTTAAAAAAATCTTTATTAAATCTTTATAAAATAAATATTTAAAAACTGTTAATTTATTCAGACAAAACTAAATTTGATCAACTAAACTGATTGATTGATTTTTGTTGTTGTTTTCACCAGTTAGCATCATCAAGGAATAAGCCAGTCAACATCTTTACAGTTTTAACATAAAAGTAAGAAAGTAATAAAATTATTAAACATTTATCTTTTAATTCTTGTTTGAATAACATCAACATGTTGTGCTTTGTGCCTGGTTGTACAAGTGAATGTATTTATGGTCAGTTGCCCGTACAAATTTCCAGGCTTTTTCAGTCTCTATTATAAAATTAATGATTTAAATATGTACATCACAAGCTTGCATCCCAGTTAATTTAGAACAAATACGATTTTTTCTTACCTATAGAAGAATATCCATTATTGGTTCACAGAGGAGAGCATGAAAGACAAAAATGAGATGAAACAAGTTAGGACTGTTTACATGAAATCTTTAAGGCATTAAAGTTAAAAACAGCATGATTTTATGGCCAGCTAAACAAACAAAAAAATAAATAAATAATAAATAAATAAAAATATAAAGAATTTCCCTTTTTAAGGATACTGTATTTTAAAGATATTATTGTAAAAACAATAAATAAATAAATACATACATACATACATAAATAGATAAATACATATTTTTTAAAAAATCAAGTAAGCTTTACAGATCTTTGTTGGAAGTGGAATACTACAATATTATTGCTAACATTCATGCTTGTTCAAAAAGCCATAAACAATTATTTATTGCACATGCACCTGTGGAACAGTCCTTAACATACTGGCAATTAAAGTCATAGTGACGGTAATGTCCATAATATAAGACACCTAAGACATTGCTACAGAGAGACAGAAAGAACAGCTTCATCCTTGCAGTGGCAAACCACGCATAACCATGTGTCCCCATGTTTGAGAACTTGTCTTGGGGGAAATATTTCACAGCAAGAACTGGCAAAACTAATTCAGTCCATGGATGAGATTATCTGTAGTACTTAAAGCAGCTGGTGGACACACTCTATACTGACTGCTCTTTTGATATTGACCCTCTATTGTCCCATGTCGGACAACATCTCCAGGACGCTGCGCTCCATGTGACTAGGATGGAGTTTTGGTTCCTTGCCGCTGTCGCCTCTGGCTTGCTTAGTTGGGGACACTTCATTTCCAGCGATATCGTTGACATAATTGCAAAGATATTATTTAAACTGAGCTGGATGTTGACATCACTGAATTCAATGATGAACTGTCTTTAACTGAAAAAGTTTACTATTGTTTACTATTGTCATTTTGCATTATTGACACTATTTTCCTAATTAATGCTGTTCAGTTGCTTTGTCACAATCGGTATTGTTAAAAGCGCTATATAAATAAAGGTGACTTGACTTGACTTGACTTGTGCTCAGGGACTGATTATTCCATTTCTGTTAGTCAGATGTCTGTGAAATTTTTTCAATTTGTGTCTCATGGGGTTGAATCTTCTGTTCATACATGTTCATACGTGTTAATTTAGATAAGTTAGTTTATTTATTTATTTTTATTTTTTCTGTGTCAATGTGTCATTTTTTCTGAAGCACTAGGACAAGACAACAACACCTAGCACCATTTTTTTATTTTCCATTTGTCATGTTGTTTCTTTATATGGCAAGTACTTCCTTATGTGAAAGTTAGATTTTAGATAGAAAAAGTTACAAATATCAAAAAGCCACAGTAAAATAATACACTGACAGCTACTAAATAACAGTAAATACATATTTTAAACAATTGTTTGAAAGATTTACAAAGATTTTTGGAGAAATTGTCAGACTTCCTGACAATTAAAAGGGTGTGGGGTGGGGGGAATAAAATAAAATAATGGAGAGTGGGAAATTAAATGGGAAAAGAAACCTGAAATGACAATTACAATTCCATTTTATTACCTTATTTTAATATTATTAGTGTTGTGATGAATTTAATTATTCTTTTTACAAGAATCATAGCAGTACGTCTTTCACTTTACAGATGAATTAATATGTATGTGTATTTTAAAACCGTTAAAAAGGCATGACAGAAAACCTCAAATATGTACAACTCTGACAGAAAATAATGACTGTGAGGCTAATGATACATAGATCAGAATTGCATTTTTTTTTAAGAATATAAGAATAAGGACAGAATCACAAAAACAAATACACAAAGTGAAGCCAGTACTAAAGGAATGTATTAATTTACCAGAGTGGGGTAGCGGAGTCCTTCGCCAGTGGTGTCACTACATGTGTTTGTTGTTTTTTCGTCACAACACAAAGTTTGAGTGAAAGGAATTGTGTTTTCATTGTAAGACGTGATGAACTTAAAGTCACTGGTGCGTGAGCCTGTGGTTAGATACGTGTCATAATTGTAAGAGCTGCGGAGAGTTCCTGCTCCATCCACATCTGCATAATTGGGAGGGAGATAGGCGCTGGGAACAGCAACTGCTCCATCAAACAACAGTCTGGGCTTTCTCCTGTGACCAAACTTCACTGCCATGATCAACAGGATGAACGTCAGGAAGAAGGTGGACACGCAAACTAATGCAATGATCAAATATAATGTTAATTTAGAGTTGTTGTCCTCATAAGTCATATCTTTAAGTTCAGGAACTTCAGAAAGGTTGTCAGAAATTAGTAAATTTACAGCACAGGTCATAGACAGAGAGGGCTGTCCATTATCCTTTACTGAAATAACAAGGTTCTGCTTCATATTGTCAGATTCAGAAATGTCTCGTTGTGTTTTGATCTCTCCACTATGGAGACCAATAGTGAACAGTCCCGGATCAGTAGATTTTACAATCTGATAGGACAGCCATGCATTCTGTCCAGAGTCAGCATCTACAGCGATCACTTTGGACACCAGAGAGCCTGAGAGAGTCGTTTTAGGGATCATTTCAGTCATTAAAGATTTTCCATCAGGAACAGGGTATAGTATCTGTGGAGAGTTATCATTCTCATCTGTTATGAAGACTTTCACAGTCACGTTACTGCTGAGTGGTGGAGATCCATTGTCTCTGGCAACAACTTTGACAGTGAAGTTTCTGAACTGCTCATAGTCAAATGATCTTACAGCATGAATCACCCCTGTATCTCCATTAATAGATAGAAACGAGGACACTGCGACCCCATTGACTTCACTGGCTACCAGAGAGTACAGTACAGTCCCGTTCTGTCTCCAGTCTGGGTCATTTGCACTGACAGAACAAACAGAAGTGCCAGGTTTGTTATTTTCACTTATATAAGCCCTGTAGGACTGCTGCTCAAATACAGGGGAGTTGTCATTGATATCAGAAACTGATAAGTAAATTATTTTGGAGGATGATAAAGGTGGAGTTCCCCCATCAATAGCTGTTAGAGTTATGTTATAATGGCTAGTAAATTCGCGATCCAGCGGACCTGTAGTGACAATTGAGTAATAATTTTTAATAGATGGATTTAGCTTAAAGGGGACATTTTCTTGAATAGTACAGTAAACCTTTTTGTTATCCCCTGTGTCTTTATCCTGAACATTAATAATAGCCACTTCAGTGCCAGGCTCCACATTCTCTGGGATTTGATTATCATTAGATTTTAAATGAATAACAGGAGTGTTGTCATTAAGATCGATTATATTTATTTCCACTTTTGCATTAGAAGCCAAGCCAGAACCATCCTTGGCCTGAATACGTATCTCATAATTGTTTTTGTCTTCGAAATCTATTGGTCCAATAACTTTAATTTCCCCACTTGTTTTATCAATAGAAAAAAGGCTGGACGCCTTATCTGAAATTTGGCTAAATTCATACACTACATGCCCATTCACTCCTTCGTCAGCATCCACAGCGCTTACTTTGACTACCATGGTATCTAAAGGCGAGTTTTCTAAAATGCTGGCTTTATAAAAAGACTGAGTAAATACCGGGATATTATCATTGGCATCCAGGACAACGACACGAATTACAGCAGTGCCAGATTTCACTGGAGTTCCACCATCGATTGCGGTAAGAACCAAATCCATATCTTTCTTTTGTTCGCGATCTAGTTCTTTTTGCAGTACCAGCTCGCAATATTTTCCTCCATTGGAATTAGAATGAACAGATAAAGAAAAGTGTTCGTTTTTCTCAAGTGAATAATTTTGAATGCCATTTTGGCCCTCATCTGCGTCATGCGCCTCCTCCAAGCGAAAGCGTGCTCCTGTGCCGATAGATTCTCCAATTTCAAGTTTGATTAGTTTGTTAGGAAATCGTGGTGAATTGTCATTTGTGTCCTCTATTTTCACAGAAATCCGATGGAGCTCTAGCGGGTGTTCTAGAACTAAGTCGTATTTTAAGACACAGGGTGCTTTTGAACCGCACAGTTCCTCTCGGTCGATCCTCTCCGTCACAATAAATTCACCTTTTTGTAGGTTAATCTCACAATAACGATTTTCATGTTCCTCCATGTCTAACCGAGCGTTTCTTGACAATAGCCCGTCCGTTTTAAGACCGAGATCCTTCGCAATATTTCCGATTACTGATCCTTGTTTCAGCTCCTCTGATATGGAGTAGCTCAAATCCCCATTGCTTTTGCGCATGAACAGTAAAAAGAACGCGATGCACGTCGACCAAGAAAAGAATCCTAACATAATCGCCATTTGTTAATGTCAGTTAATTTTAAACTCAGCCTCCACAATCCACAGTGATATTTACATCAGCCCAAAAACCTATATAATGATGCGTGTGAATAAGGCGTGTCGTGATGTTTAAAGTATTATGACAGAGGGAGGGCAGTCATAAAGGATACTGCATTCTTGGTCAATAGCGACCCTCTGAGTTTGCATATCACATTACAATTATGCATCAAGATGGATTCAAAGTAAAGTGGGACAAAGTAATGTAAACACAATAAAACTAATAAGTAAATAAATAAATAAATAAAACTGTACTCTGTGTTTGTCTTAGAATTTACTGATTTTAAGCCACAAGGCTAACACTTTACTTGAAGATTTTAAAATAATTTATAAAGGTATTGATAATGTTCATTGTAATGCATTATATATTTTCAGAAATAAATGTAGGCAATATTAAAATGTATTATAATATTTGCAGATTCCTTGTTACACCTGAAATTGGTTGCTTACAATGTTTTAATATAATATCATTTCTTATTATACTTTCTACTTTTTGGTGTAACAATAAATAGATACGTTTTATAATGTATTATAACAATTGTTCATGAGATCATACAATGCATTATAAGGTGCATTACAAGGCACAGTTAATGAATTAAAAATACTTAATGCTTTACATAAAGGCATCGAGTAAAGTCTTACAGACAAAAGCCTAATTTATAGAATTGTATAATGTGCTTTATGAATGAAATGGAAAAACTGATATACATATTTCTTTCAGGCACAGCTGAAAAGAGGCAAATACTGTAAAACTATATCAGAAATGCATTATTAAATAGGCCTCATACCTCGTCAGCCTCTTCTGTGTTGACAAGAGTGAGAACATGTGTTCCAAATGAATCACTTTTAACTGATTTCAGAGTCCCACCAGCAGGAATTGTGTTTTCATTGTAAGATCTTATGAATTTGAAGTCACTGGTGTGTGAGCCTGTGGTTAGATATGTATCATAATTGTAAGAGCTGCGGAGAGTTCCTGCTCCATCCAAATCTGCATAATTGGGAGGGAGATAGGCGCTGGGAACAGCAACTGCTCCATCAAACAACAGTCTGGGCTTTCTCTTGTGACAAAACTTCACTGCCACGATCAACATGATGAACGTCAGGAAGAAGGTGGACACGCAAACTAATGCAATGACCAAGTAGGACGTTAATTTAGAGTTGTTGTCCTCATAAGTCATATCTTTAAGTTCAGGAACTTCAGAAAGGTTGTCAGAAATGAGTACATTTACAGAACAGGTCATAGACAGAGAGGGCTGTCCATTATCCTTCACCGAAATAACAAGGTTCTGCTTCATATTGTCAGATTCAGAAATGTCTCGTTGTGTTTTGATCTCTCCACTATGGAGACCAATAGTGAACAGTCCCGGATCAGTAGATTTGACAATCTGATAGGACAGCCATGCATTCTGTCCAGAGTCAGCATCTACAGCGATCACTTTGGACACCAGAGAGCCTGAGAGAGTCGCTTTAGGGATCATTTCAGTCATTAAAGACTTTCCATCAGGAACAGGGTATAATATCTGTGGAGAGTTATCATTCTCATCTGTTATGAAGACTTTCACAGTCACGTTACTGCTGAGCGGTGGAGATCCATTGTCTCTGGCAACAACTTTGACAGTGAGGTTTCTGAACTGCTCATAGTCAAATGATCTTACAGCATGAATCACCCCTGTATCTCCATTAATAAATAGAAACGAGGACACTGGGACCCCATTGACTTCACTGGTTACCAGAGAGTACAGTACAGTCCCGTTCTGTCTCCAGTCTGGGTCATTTGCACTGACAGAACAAACAGAAGAGCCTGGTTTGTTATTTTCACGTATATAAGCACTGTATGACTGCTGCACAAATACAGGAGGATTATCATTCACATCTGAGACAAATAAATGAATTGTCATGGAGGTGGATAATGGTGGAGATCCCCCATCTGTGGCTGTGATGGTAATGTTGTAATCAGATTCTTTCTCTCGGTCTAGAGCTTTTGTAGTCACTAGAGAGAAATAGTTTTTAACAGATGGGTTCAGTTTGAAAGGAACATTTTGCTGAACAGAACAACGAATCTGCCGGTTTTCTCCTGAGTCTTTGTCTTGAGCATTAATGATTCCCACCTCAGTGCCTGGCTCAGAGTTTTCAGGTACTGGGTTATTCAAAGATTTAAGGGTGATTCTAGGCGGATTGTCATTCACATCAATTATATCTATTATAACTTTAGCAGTTGATGCTAATCCAGATGCATCTTTCGCTTGAATTCCCATTTCATACTTTTTGTCTTTTTCATAATCAATTTCTCCAGTCACCACAATTTGTCCTGTTGTCTTATCAATAGAAAATAATTTTGCAGTTTTATCTGACATTCTGCTGAATTCATAAGTTACTTCTCCGTTTGGACCTTCATCTGCATCCTTGGCGCTCACTCGGATTATTTCTGTTCCTGAAGGTGTATTTTCAGCCAGGGTGACTTTATAAACAGACTCACTAAACACTGGGACATTATCATTAGCATCGAGAACAGTGATGTGTATGACAGCAGTGCCAGACCTCTGCGGTGAACCACCATCAGTGGCTGTGAGTATCATATCTATCTCCTGCTGCTGTTCACGATCCAACTCCTTTTCCAACACGAGTTCAGCGTATTTTCCCCCATCTGCAGTATCATGAACAGTCAATATAAAATGTTGATTTTTCTGCAGTGAATAACTGTTGACCGCATTTTGTCCGACATCCGCGTCATGCGCCTCATCCAAACGGAATCGCTGACCTTTATCTGCCGATTCTCTGATTTCAAAGATAATACGTTCATTTGGAAATCGTGGTGCGTTGTCATTTATATCCTGAATTTTAAGAATTATACGATGGACTTCAAGAGGGTTTTCCAGGAAGAGATCATAGCTAAGAATGCAGGGAATTTGGGATCCACAAAGCTCCTCTCGGTCTATTGTCTCTGCCACGATTAAATCACCAGTATTCAGATTAATATCACAGTACCGTTTGCTGCTGTCCTCACTGTCTATCCGAGCCTTACGAGCAGATAATTGTTTCACATCCATCCTGAGATCCTTTGCTATATTTCCAATCACATACTGGCGCTTCGTTTCTTCCTCAATATTGTAGCTCAGGTCATCACAGACAGATCTCAGAGCAAAGAGAATGAGAGCAACAAAATACGTAAAGAAAGGAACTGAAAATAATCCGTGTTCCATTTTTGAAGAGATGATGTTGCAAATGTTCAATAGTAAATTACTCTTTTGCAGAAAATATTCGAATAATTCTGTCAGCATTTACGGGCGGTTACTCCATTTTGTGCGGCGTTTATTCTAACACACAGCTCATCTTGCATGCATTAAGTGTGGGATGAGAGTCACATCAGTCTTGGTGAATAGCGACACTCTGAGTTTTTTTGGGTCATTGCATCATTCATGTATTTATTGAAAAGACAGCAGGGATTAGCCAAGTGAAGTTTGATGTTTGTCGACGCTTATTATTGTAAAATATCAATTTACATAAAAATAAATATAGGAAACTGACTGAAAATAGTCACACATTCAGAGATAAAGAACAACAGAAGGTTCTGACGCTGTCCATGCTTGTGGTTCTGAAACGGGATGACCTCAGAGACATTCAACGAGAAAATACTAACGTAACTTTAAATCCAAATTGAATAAAAGCGTGAAACCGTTTTAAAAGACAGAGAAGCTTATTATCCTATTCAGCGCTTCAACCAAATTTTATTTTTCTTTTTTTTTTCTAAATGTTAACGTATATGTACATTGTACTATCGTCCTCAAAGTGATAACTGTTCTAATACTTTCAGACCATATACGTTAAACCTTACAAAATAGCTAATTTTGTTTTTAGGCTAAAACAACAACAGAAAATTGCAAGATACCCTTAAATCTGACAGAGCTCAACTACACAATTTAGCCAATGCCACATTCATTTTTCTAAACACGTTTGAAGACCGCAATTCCCATAAACAAACAAATAAAATAAATAAATAAATTCATGAAAAAAAACCATTTATATATATATATATATATATATATATATATATTACAGAATTGATGAACGCAAGGTTGAAGTAGCTACTGTTAAAGGAGTGCAAGAAGGCAGGAAGTACACAAATTTATGATATCAATAAATCGCGACCTACATAATCTGGTCTATTGAATGAAAACACTTCAGACATCAACTACATTAAAGTGTGAGGTATTTCAAAGCTTATTGTGAAATAATTGTTGACTTTTGAAGAAATCCAATTGTAATGTAAGTGAAATATGTCACGTTTTCAGTCAGTACTGGTGCACTCTAGACCTGTGGTTCTGAAACCGAATGACTTCACAGACAGATTAGGCGAAATGAGAAAAACAGGTTTTAAAATAAAAATGTATTTATATTGGCTACTTCAAGTTTTAACTGAAATGATGTATGATCAATCTCAAAATAATAATAATAATAATAATAATAAATTAAAATTAAAAAAGGCTTATTAAAAAAGATAAAGAAAGGGAAATAACAGTAAAACAAAGTATTACTTCGGAAATAAACATATATCTTATCCAAAATTCAACAATGCAATGTGATATGCCGTCATACCAGATACTGATAGCTGTGTGCCAATAAATGTACTAAATCGTGGGACTAGAAGCAAGTCAAAGACCCATTCAGGTCTATTTAATAGTTTTCTTTATAGATGTGGCCATTGTGTTTTATAGATACCTTAAAATGAAGGGCAGGAAATGAAGAGAGCTGATGGCAATAAAATACAGACATTTATAATGAAGTGTGAGGTTCTCATAAATAGCCACCCAGCATTGTTAAACAAAAACCGCTTTAAAAAAAAGTGGCTTATATTATTTATTTATTATTATTATTATTATTATTATTAAAATACATATAAACGGAGATACCAGGAAATACAATACTGTAATTAAAGAGAGTCGAGACGAGTTAAACTTCACTTACCTCATCTTCATTCCCTGTAACATCAAGTGTTATCATGTTGGTTCCAAATTGAATATTGTGCTCCTTTTTCAAAGTCTCACCAGCAGGAAGTGTGTTTTCACTATACGAGCTCATAAACTTAAAGTCACTGGTGCGCGAGCCTGTGGTTAGATACGTGTCATAATTGTAAAAGCTGCGGAGAGTTCCTGCTCCATCCACATCTGCATAATTGGGAGGGAGATAAGCGCTGGGAACAGCAACTGCTCCATCAAACAACAGTCTGGGCTTTCTCCTGTGACATTGTCATGGAGGTGGATAATGGTGGAGATCCCCCATCTGTGGCTGTGATGGTAATGTTGTAATCAGATACTTTCTCTCGGTCTAGAGCTTTTGTAGTCACTAGAGAGAAATAGTTTTTAACAGATGGGTTCAGTTTGAAAGGAACATTTTGCTGAACAGAGCAACGAATCTGCCGGTTTTCTCCTGAGTCTTTGTCTTGAACATTAATGATTCCCACCTCAGTGCCTGGCTCAGAGTTTTCAGGTACTAGATTGTTCAAAGATTTAAGGATGATTCTAGGTGAATTATCATTAACATCAGTTATATCTATTATAACTTTAGCAGTTGATGCTAATCCGGAGGCATCTTTGGACTGAATTATCATTTCATAGTTTTTTTCATTTTCATGATCAATTTCTCCGATCACCACAATTTGCCCTGTTGTCTTATCAATAGAAAACAATGTTACAGCTTTGTCTGATATTCTGCTGAATTCATAAATCACTTCCCCGTTTTGACCTTCATCAGCATCAGTGGCGCGCACTTGGATTATTTCTGTTCCTGAAGGTGTATTTTCAGCCAGGGTGACTTTATAAACAGACTCACTAAACACTGGGACATTATCATTAGCATCGAGAACAGTGATGTGTATGACAGCAGTGCCAGACCTCTGCGGTGAACCACCATCAGTGGCTGTGAGTATCATATCTATCTCCTGCTGCTGTTCACGATCCAACTCCTTTTCCAACACGAGTTCAGCGTATTTTCCACCGTCTGCACTATCGTGAATATCCAAAGTAAAATGTTCATTCTTCGATAGCGAATAGCCATTAATACCATTTTGTCCTATATCCTTGTCGTGCGCCTCATCCAAACGGAATCGCTGGCCTTTAACTGCTGATTCTCTGATTTCAAAGATAATACGTTCATTTGGAAATCGTGGTGCGTTGTCATTTATATCCTGAATTTGCAGAATTATACGATGGACTTCAAGAGGGTTTTCCAGGACGAGCTCATAACTGACAATACAGGACATTCGAGATCCACAAAGCTCCTCTCGGTCTATTGTCTCTGCCACGATTAAATCACCAGTATTCAGATTAATATCACAGTACCGTTTGCTGCTGTCCTCACTGTCTATCCGAGCCTTTCGAGCAAATAATTGTTTCACATCCATCCTGAGATCCTTGGCTATATTTCCAATCACATACTGGCGCTTCGTTTCTTCCTCAATATTGTAGCTCAGGTCATCACAGACAGATCTCAGAGCAAAGAGAATGAGAGCAACAAAATAGGTAAAGAAAGGAACTGAAAATAATCCGTGTTCCATTTTTGAAGATTTGATATTGCAAATACTCAACAGTTAGTGGCTCTTTGACGGATGATATTCCATTAATTCTGTCGGTGTCTACGGACTGTTACTCCATTTTGTGCGGCGTTTAATCTAACAGACAGAGCTCATATTGCTTGCATTAAGTGTGGGAGGAGAGACACGGTCTGCATTTTTGGTCAATAGCGACACTGTGAGTATTTTCTGCTCATTGCGCCTTGCATGAAAAGACGACGGGTCACAAATAACAAGACCAGAATACGTCTGGGGTTTTTTTACGTGTTATTTTTCAATAAAGTATACAGTTTACATTTAAATTTAAAATTATGATTTTAAATTTCAATAAATGTAAAATAATTATACAGGGAGAAAAGTGAAAGACGTCACGTCTTCAGAGAAAAAAATACAACAGTCAGTGCTGGCGGTGTCCATGCTTGTGGTGCTGAAACTAAATAAGCTCAAAGACAGACTGGTTGAGAATATACTGATGTAACCTTGAATTTATATTAAATAAATAATTAAATCCGTTCTAGTAATGAATGTATTTTTCACCATTTCAACTAAACTTGGTTCTTTAGTAGGTTTTAAATGTTGTACATTTTACTATCCTATGGTGGCCGAGAGAGCTGAAAGCGCTGCAAATAGAAAAAAAACACCTGCGAATTAAGAAGACATCTTCATCAATTTGAAAACACACGCGCTGCAAATTCTCACAACACAAAAAAAGAAACGCTGCAAATACAAAACAAACAAACAAATACATAAACGCGATGCAAATTCTCACAACACAAACAAACGCTATGCAAATACAAAACAAACGAACAAAAACAGAAACATTCTGCAAATATGCACAGATCATATCGGAAATGCTTAAGGGAAGCGCGCATTTTTTGTGTGTGTGTTGTTGTGAATATTTGCAGTTGTATTTTTTTTCTATGCGCAAGGTTTTTTTCTTTTCTTTTTCTTTTTCTTTTTTCTTCATTTGCAGCGCATTGAGCTCTCTTGGCCACCGTAACTATATATACACCTTAGAGTGATGCAATCAACCTTGTATCAACAAGCCATGAAACTGTTAATTCAGACAAAGATCAAATACACAGTTTTACTAGTCAAGGTCATATTATTCACCTTTTTTACAAAAAAAAAACCTTTGGTACTGCCGTGGTGATAAACTTAATGCAATAATGAACAAAAATAAGATTTAAAAAATGCCTCTAAAGTAGACCGTTGTTTTTTTTTTCATAATTGATGAAGGCAACATTATATTCCATCACACCAGGAAATCTGAATGACGTGCAGAAACTATACAAATTCATGAGATCAAAATTTGATGACCCAATAATTTGGTCCATAAACAGTTTTCTCTATATCAGTGGCAAACTTGTTCTATAAGCTAAAAAGAAATGCAGAAATACTAGGAGTGATAGCAATATCATACAAAATAATAAAGTGTGAGGTTTTCATGAATTATGCACCTAAAAAATTTTAAACAACAGCCGCCATAAAGAGTAAAGTAGCTGAAATGATCAATGGAAATACTATTCAAAATAAATAAAGTAATAAATAGCCTCTCTTACCTCATCTCCATTCCCTGTAACGTCAAGTGTTATCATGCTGGTTCCAAATTGAATATTGTGCTCCTTTTTCAGAGTCGCACCAGCAGGAAGCGTGTTTTCATTATACGAGCTCACAAACTTAAAGTCACTGGTGCGCGAGCCTGTGGTTAGATACGCGTCATAATTGTAAGAGCTGCGGAGAGTTCCTGCTTCATCCACCTCTGCATAATTGGGAGGTAGATAGGTGCTGGGAACAGCAACTGCTCCATCAAACAACAGTCTGGGCTTTCTCCTGTGACAAAACTTCACTGCCACGATCAGTATGATGAACGTCAGGAAGAAGGTGGACACAGAAACTAATGCAATGATCAAGTAGGACGTTAATTTAGAGTTGCTGTCCTCATAAGTCATATCTTTTAGTTCAGGAACTTCAGAAAGGTTGTCAGAAATTAGTAAATTTACAGCACAGGTCATAGACAGAGAGGGCTGTCCATTATCCTTCACCGAAATAACAAGGTTCTGCTTCATATTGTCAGATTCAGAAATGTCTCGTTGTGTTTTGATCTCTCCACTATGGAGACCAATAGTGAACAGTCCCGGATCAGTAGATTTTACAATCTGATAGGACAGCCATGCATTCTGTCCAGAGTCAGCATCTACAGCGATCACTTTGGACACCAGAGAGCCTGAGACAGACGCTTTAGGGACCATTTCAGTCATTAAAGACTTTCCATCAGGAACAGGGTATAATATCTGTGGAGAGTGATCATTCTCATCTGTTATGAAGACTTTCACAGTCACGTTACTGCTGAGTGGTGGAGATCCATTGTCTCTGGCAACAACTTTGACAGTGAAGTTTCTGAACTGCTCATAGTCAAATGATCTTACTGCATGAATCACCCCTGTATCTCCATTAATAGATAGAAACGAGGACACTGGGACCCCATTGACTTCACTGGCTACCAGAGAGTACAGTACAGTCCCGTTCTGTCTCCAGTCTGGGTCATTTGCACTGACAGAACAAACAGAAGTGCCTGGTTTGTTATTTTCACGTATGTAAGCACTGTATGGCTGCTGCAAAAATACAGGAGGATTGTCATTCACATCTGAGACAAATAAATGAATTGTCATGGAGGTGGATAATGGTGGAGATCCCCCATCTGTGGCTGTGATGGTAATGTTGTAATCAGATACTTTCTCTCGGTCTAGAGCTTTTGTAGTCACTAGAGAGAAATAGTTTTTAACAGATGGGTTCAGTTTGAAAGGAACATTTTGCTGAACAGAACAACGGATCTGCCGGTTTTCTCCTGAGTCTTTGTCTTGAACATTAATGATTCCCACCTCAGTGCCTGGCTCAGAGTTTTCAGGTACTGGATTATTTAAAGATTTAAGGGTGATTCTAGGCAGATTGTCATTAACATCAGTTATATCTATTATAACTTTAGCAGTTGATGCTAATCCAGAACCATCCTGAGCATGGATCCCCATTTCATAGTTTTTTTCATTTTCATAATCAATTTCTCCAACCACCATAATTTGCCCGGTTGTTTTATCAATAGAAAATAATTTGGCAGCTTTATGTGAAATTCTGCTGAATTCATAAGTCACTTCCCCGTTTGGACCTTCATCAGCATCAGTGGCGCGCACTTGGATTATTTCTGTTCCTGAAGGTGTATTTTCAGCCAGGGTGACTTTATAAACAGACTCACTAAACACTGGGACATTATCATTAGCATCGAGAACAGTGATGTGTATGACAGCAGTGCCAGACCTCTGCGGTGAACCACCATCAGTGGCTGTGAGTATCATATCTATCTCCTGCTGCTGTTCACGATCCAACTCCTTTTCCAACACGAGTTCAGCGTATTTTCCCCCATCTGCAGTATCATGAACATTTAAAACAAAATGCTTATTTTTCTCTAGTGAATAACCATTGAGTGCGTTATTCCCGATATCTGAATCATGAGCCTCATGCAAACGGAATCGCTGGCCTTTAACTGCTGATTCTCTGATTTCAAAGATAATACGTTCATTTGGAAATCGTGGTGCGTTGTCATTTATATCCTGAATTTGCAGAATTATACGGTGGACTTCAAGAGGGTTTTCCAGGACGAGCTCATAACTGACAATACAGGACATTCGAGAACCACAAAGCTCCTCTCGGTCTATTGTCTCTGCCACGATTAAATCACCAGTATTCAGATTAATATCACAGTACCGTTTGCTGCTGTCCTCACTGTCTATCCGAGCCTTTCGAGCAAATAATTGTTTCACATCCATCCTGAGATCCTTGGCTATATTTCCAATCACATACTGGCGCTTCGTTTCTTCCGGAATATTGTAGCTCAGGTCATCACAGACAGATCTCAGAGGAAACATAATGAAAGCCACGAAAAACGCAAAGAAAGTACGTACAAATAACCTGTATTCCATTTTTGAAGATTTGATATTGCACCTTCTCAACAGTAAGCGAATCTTTGACGAATGATATTATAATTCTATGTTTGTCGACGGACTGTTACTCCATTTTGTGCGGCGCTTATTCTAATAGACAGAGCTCATATAGCATACATTAGGTATGGGAGGAGAGACGCATCAGTCCGCACACTTGGTGAATAGCGACGCTGTGAGTATTTTTCTGTTCATTGCAACATTAATATATATTTATTGAAAAGATTACAGTGATCAGCCAAGTAAAGTCTCATGTTCGTTAGCTCGTTTTATTGTAAGATAAGTTATATAATTGTGTAGCTATATTTATATTGGGAAAGAACTGAAAATTGTCACGCAATCAAAGATAAAATACAACAGACAGTTCTGGCGCTGTCCAGACTTGTGGTGCTGAAACCGGATGACCTCACAGACTGATTCAACCAAACATAATTCTTGACTAAGTTTTAACGTGGATGTGCACTGTATTTTTGACCACAAAGTGATAAATGTTCACTTTTAGGCCAATACGTTAAAACTTACTAAAAGCCAAGTTTGTTTTTAGACTAAAACAACAACTTAAAATCTCAAGTAACTGTTAAAACTTGCAGAGATCAAACACACAACTTCAACTTCAACCACAAGCCAAAACCATATTATCCACAATAAACACCGCGATTCACCCTAACAAAAGGCAATAGGGAAGAAAACCAAGAGAGAGAAACTCCTCAAAAATAAACCTGCATATATACAGTATATATATATATTTATTTATTTTTTTTTTTTTTTTTCGAGAATTGGTTAATGCAGCGCTCAAGTACTGGTTAAGGTGTGCAAGGATATACATTCATAAGATCCAAAATTCGCGACCAAAATAACCTGGTACATTTAAATTGTTTTCATTATAATAAATAATAAATGCCGATATCAATAAAAAAAATATATAATCATTTGAGACACCAAGAAATGCAAAAATAAAACACAGTCCAAGTAAGTTAAGCCTTTGTTACCTCATCTTCATTTCCTGTAATGTCAAGTGTTATCATACTCGAGCTAAATTAAATATTGTGCTCCTTTTTCAGAGTCCCACCAGCAGGAAGTGTGTTTTCATGATATGAGCTCACAAACTTAAAGTCACTGGTGCGCGAGCCTGTGGTTAGATACGTGTCATAATTGTAAGAGCTGCAGAGAGTTCCTGCTCCATCCACATCTGCATAATTGAGAGGGAGATAGGCGCTGGGAACAGCAACTGCTCCATCAAACAACAGTCTGGGCTTTCTCTTGTGACAAAACTTCACTTTCACGATCAGTATGATGAATGTCAGGAAGAAGGTGAACACGCAAACTAATGCAATGATCAAATATGATGTTAATTTAGAGTTGTTGTCCTCATAAGTCATATCTTTCAGTTCAGGAACTTCCGAAAGGTTGTCAGAAATTAGTAAATTTACAGCACAGGTCATAGACAGAGAGGGCTGTCCGTTATCTTTCACCAAAATAACAAGGGTCTGCTTCATATTGTAAGATTCAGAAATGTCTCGTTGTGTTTTGATCTCTCCACTATGGAGACCAATAGTGAACAGTCCCGGACCAGAAGATTTGACAATCTGATAGGACAGCCATGCATTCTGTCCAAAGTCAGCATCTACAGTGATCACCTTGGACACCAGAGAGCCTGAGAGAGTCGCTTTAGGGACCATTTCAGTCATTAAAAACTTTCCACCAGGATCAAGGTATAATATATGTGGAGAGTTATCATTCTCATCTGTTATGAAGACTTTCACAGTCACGTTACTGCTGAGCGGTGGAGATCCATTGTCTCTGGCAACAACTTTGACAGTGAGGTTTCTGAACTGCTCATAGTCAAATGATCTTACAGCATGAATCACCCCTGTATCTCCATTAATAGATAGAAACGAGGACACTGCGACCCCATTGACTTCACTGGCTACCAGAGAGTACGGTACAGTCCCGTTCTGTCTCCAGTCTGGGTCATTTGCACTGACAGAACAAATAGAAGTGCCTGGTTTGTTATTTTCACTTATATAAGCACTGTAATACTGCTGCACAAAAGCAGGAGGGTTGTCATTCACATCTGAGACAAATAATCTAATAGTTTTAGATGACGTTAAGGGCGGGGAACCCTCGTCATTACTGTAATCGTGATGTAATCGAGATTCTCTCTCTCGGTCCAATGCTTCTGCTGTTACCAATGCAAAGTGGTTCTTAATTGATGTTATTAGTTTAAAGTGATCGTTCTGCTGAATAAAACATTTAATATTTCCATTAGATGCTGTATCTTTGTCCTGCACGTATATAACTGCAACTTCTGTACCCACAGTCACATCCTCCAGAAGCGGCGTTTTAAGAGATTTAATCATGATAAAGGGAGCATTATCATTGACATCACTGATGTCTACCACTACTTTAGAAGTGGTTGCTAGACCAGCTCCGTCTTTTGCTTTAACTCAGATCTCAAACGAAGGACCGTCTTCAAAATCTAATGGCCCTTTAATTGTTATTTCACTCGATATGGGGTCTATTGAAAAAATAGACTTTGCATTCACTGGCATATGACTAAATTCATAAGTAACATCTCCGTTTGCTCCTTCATCAGCATCACTGGCACTCTCAGTAACCACAACTGAGTCTACTGGAAGGTTTTCAGGGACACTCACCTTATATACCTACTGGCTGAGAAAAAAACTGGTTTATTATCATTAATGTCCAAAACGCGGATTTGTGTAACTACAGTGCCTGATTTCTGAGAATTGCCCCCGTCATAAACTATCAAAATAAGAGAATGCTTGTCTTGTTTTTCACGGTCCAGTTCATGCTCCAACACTATTTCTGCACATTTCCCAGTCTCGGCGCTAGTCTGTACAGCTAAACTGAAATGCGGGTTATTTGAGAGTCTGTAACCTTGTACTGAATTTATTCCGCTGTTTGGGTCCGCAGCTTAGTCGATTAAAAATCGGGACCCTTTAACTGTAAACTCTGGGATATCTAATTTTACCTCACTGTGGGGGAAGGTCGGGTTGTTATCGTTTATGTCTTGAATCTCCAGAGTTATACGGTGTAGTTCAAGGGGGTTTTCCATGAATATATCAAAAGCTAATTTGCACAAAGGTTTTTGTCCGCAGAGCTCTTCTCGGTCAATCCTTTCATTTATAACGAGTTCCCCATTCTGCGCGTTGACTTCACTGTAGCGGTTTCTTCCATCAAACTCAATCCTTAGATTCCGTGATGTAAATGTATTCCTATGGACTCCTAAATCCTGCGCAATATTGCCGACCACTGACCTTCGCTTTATTTACTCTAGAAAGGAATAACGTATATCTCCTAAGCATAATGAAACAGCGAATGGAATAAAGGACAATGGCTTTCCACACTGATAGCCGCGACGCATATGCTGAAGTGTATTCCATTCTAAATAAACGTGAAGGAAATTCTTTAAGACAATTTAATAGGCCTATTATTGAGATATGTATTGTCCTCAGACACAAACAGCAGTGGTCTGAACATGAGAGGTGTGATCTGAAAATAGGATGCAAAGCAAATGGGTGGACCGATGAACAAATTCCCGGCACAGATCAACAGCGACACACTGCGTAGTGTGAAAATATCTACAGGCAAAACGTTAAACCCCGTCAGCACACTCATTTAATTTTTAAAGGTTTATTTTAAAGGCACCGTAGTCTACAACTCTTTCGGGATGTTGAAAATGACCATGTAAAATGTGAATAACACAAGGCTCAGGAGCAGACAGAGGCGCCGATATTATGATTTATTTTCTTGCAAGAAGATTCTAGCAAAGGTCTTCCTCAAACTAACAGTTGTGGAAGTCAAAGGGAATTAAAAAAGGAATTTCTAAGAATTGCATTTCTAAGGAATTGCAAAACAGAATCCGTTCTAAAGCATTTTAAGGGCTTAAGTGCATCATCGTCATCATTTCTTTTTTTTTTTTTGCAGATGTGTTTCCAAGTCACAGTACAGACGGGCAAAATTTAAGGATTAAAACAGACCTTTACCTCTGTACACTCCCCTTCGTCAGACAGGTGCAACATATTAGAATCGATGTCACTCTTCATCAGAGTCCCACCAGCAGGAAGCGTGTTTTCATTATACGAGCTCATAAACTTAAAGTCACTGGTGCGCGAGCCTGTGGTTAGATACGCGTCATAATTGTAAGAGCTGCGGAGAGTTCCTGCTCCATCCACATCTGCATAATTGGGAGGGAGATAGGCGCTGGGAACAGCAACTGCTCCATCAAACAACAGTCTGGGCTTTCTCTTGTGACAAAACTTCACTGCCACGATCAACATGATGAACGTCAGGAAGAAGGTGGACACGCAAACTAATGCAATGATCAAATATGATGTTAATTTAGAGTTGTTGTCCTCATAAGTCATATCTTTAAGTTCAGGAACTTCAGAAAGGTTGTCAGAAATGAGTACATTTACAGAACAGGTCATAGACAGAGAGGGCTGTCCATTATCTTTCACCGAAATAACAAGGATCTGCTTCATGTTGTCAGATTCAGAAATGTCTCGTTGTGTTTTGATCTCTCCACTATGGAGACCAATAGTGAACAGTCCCGGATCAGTAGATTTGACAATCTGATAGGACAGCCATGCATTCTGTCCAGAGTCAGCATCTATAGCGATCACTTTGGACACCAGAGAGCCTGAGAGAGTCGCTTTAGGGACCATTTCAGTCATTAAAGACTTCCCATCAGGAACAGGGTATAATATCTGTGGAGAGTTATCATTCTCATCTGTTATGAAGACTTTCACAGTCACGTTACTGCTGAGCGGTGGAGATCCATTGTCTCTGGCAACAACTTTGACAGTGAGGTTTCTGAACTGCTCATAGTCAAATGATCTTACAGCATGAATCACCCCTGTATCTCCATTAATAAATAGAAACGAGGACACTGGGACCCCATTGACTTCACTGGTTACCAGAGAGTACAGTACAGTCCCGTTCTGTCTCCAGTCTGGGTCATTTGCACTGACAGAACAAACAGAAGTGCCAGGTTTGTTATTTTCACGTATATAAGCACTGTATGACTGCTGCACAAATACAGGAGGATTATCATTCACATCTGAGACAAATAAATGAATTGTCATGGAGGTGGATAATGGTGGAGATCCCCCATCTGTGGCTGTGATGGTAATGTTGTAATCAGATTCTTTCTCTCGGTCTAGAGCTTTTGTAGTCACTAGAGAGAAATAGTTTTTAACAGATGGGTTCAGTTTGAAAGGAACATTTTGCTGAACAGAGCAACGAACCTGCCGGTTTTCTCCTGAATCTTTGTCTTGAACATTAATGATTCCCACCTCAGTGCCTGGCTCAGAGTTTTCAGGTACTGGGTTATTCAAAGATTTAAGGGTGATTCTAGGCGGATTGTCATTCACATCAATTATATCTATTATAACTTTAGCAGTTGATGCTAATCC